AATAAAGCTCTTTTTTCTCATGATTTATGAATGTGCAGCTTCCATATTGCAAGTTTGGACTTAATCTTTCCTCAGAATGGAGGTCCTTCATGTCTCTTATCATTTGGTGTCCCTTCCAAGCACTTTCACCAGTTCACCAATATCCTTTTTGTGAATTGCTGCCCAAAACTAAACTGCATTTTCCAGATGAGGAATACGTCTGTTTGAATGTGGCTACCAATTACTAGGTATTTCCTTCATGTATTGTGCTTGAAGCAGTACAGCTAAAGAGAAAGAAGCCTTAACCTCCCTGGCGGTATTCCTGAGTGTAGCTCAGGGTAAAGTTTCAGTACCAAAAGCGGTAACCCCGAGCTACACTCGGGCTTACCATGCAGCGTTGCATAGGGATTCCCTGCAGCGCTTACCTTGTCCTTCGCTCCCGCGATGCGTCCCCTGCAGCGTCCCCGGCCATCTCTTCCGGCCGATGCCGGCTTCCGTGTTCCGGTCCCTGTGACGTCGGGATGTACGGTGGCAAATTTGAAATTTTAAAAAATTTTTTACTTTTTTAAAAATTAATATTTACATAGTAAAACATTGCTGTTTCAAAGAATTTCACATACATTTTGTCCCTACTGCTTTGTCCTGTCCCCTGCTTGCATTTTGACTGTTCTTTCTGCCTGGAAACTTAGAAAAAAGTCCATGGCGTCCAAAAAGCGTCCCTTTATATCAAAATCGGTTTTAGAGACAAGCTAGAGAACAATGATAGTAAATCAGAACCACTTGCAGAATTGAGTGATGATTTGTGGGGAAATTCGTCATCAGACACTGAAAACGATTTTGCGACTTTGCTCAGTGATATACGAACTTGGCGCTATATTTCAAATTTCAGTGTTTTTGGTTTGATTATATTATTTAATTAAATTTATTATTATTACATTATTATTTTTTATGATTATCTATTAAATTATAATTTATGATTTTGTGTTTCAAGTTTTATCATATCCGGAATGTTTACTAGACTCTTGTTCGAACAGATTTCAGTGAGTTATTCCTAAATTACAGGCTTACAATAAAAAAAAAATACATATTTCCATGCAAAAAAATGGTACCGCTTTCAGCACCAAAAATATGAAATAATCATACCGCTAGGGAGGTTAAGAAGTAGGATCCATAGGCAGCAATGAAGGAACAAGGAGCTAACAGGACAGTTTTTACATTAATGAATGTATTTTGCTTGCTGGACCTTTGACTAAGTGGACCATTGATTAAGTGGAGTTAAAAAACGGAGTGGAAAACAGGAAATTATAACAGGAATCTACTAACCTGTAAGTGTGAACTGATATTTCCTATTAGTACTATTAATATTGTAATTGGGATATAAGTGCTAACGGGGTTGAAGGTTTGTGCAGTTCACAGTGTGCCACATGTATGCAACAATGGAGCAACAGCTCCAGGATGGATACCGCTGCAACAGATATGAGCAGGTTGCCCTTATGGAAGCTCGCATTAGAGATCTGGATGAGTAAGTTGCAACACTGGGCAGAACCGACAATCTTGAAAGGGGTCTTCTGCTCCCTGAGCAGGTAGCTAATAGGATTGATATGGAGGGTGGAGGGGCTAATCAGGATTATCAGGTAGGAAGATGGATTACTGTAACAAGAGGGAGTGTTAGGGGCTCACAGAAAAGGAAGGCTGGCCCTGGGTTTGTGCACCCAACAGATCTGCCAAGTTGGGTGAAAATGTGGCGGTGGCAAGCTCAGGGGTGGCAATCCTGGATGTCACTGCTATCCCTAACAGCTGGGAGGGCAGACCATCTGGGAGGGGTGGTGAGGGTAGTGCAGGAAGGCCTAGACAGCTGGTGGTAGTAGGGGATTCCATAATCAGAAGGACTGATAGAACAATTTGTCGCCAGGATCTCCTCAACCGAATGGTTTGCTGTCTCCCTGGTGCCAGGGTTCAGCATGTGGTGGACCGGGTTGATAAATTACTGGGCATGACCCAGCTATCTTGGTCCATGTTGGAACCAATTACATGGAAGGTGGAGGCTCCTTAAGAATAAATTTAAAGAACTAGCCTGCAAGTTGAAGGGAAGGACCTTCAAGGTGATATTCTCTGAAATGTTACCTGAGCAATGCACAACTCAGGAAAGACAGGGAGAGATTAGGGAGCTAAATGCATGGCTAAAGAACTGGTGTAAGAGGGAAGGATTTGGGTTTTTAGAGCACTGGGTTGCCTTTTCATTGGGATGCTAGAGATGGTTTGCACCTAAATGGAAGGGGGTCTGCTGTGCTCGAGGAGAGGTTTATGGGGAGTCTGGAGGAGTATTTAAACTAAGATTGAGGGGGAAGGAGAATACCATTATAATGGGGCAGACAGATCAGACAGGGGTCAGTATTTATTGGTGGGTGGAATGGACAAAAAGATAGGGGAGGGCTATGGCAGGTGATAAGAATGTGCCAATGTTATAAACAACCTTTGGAATTGGTACCATTTGTATGAATATAAAAAATATGCAAAATACGTGTGCACAAAGTGTCAATGCATTAAAGTGTTTGTTCACCAATTCTAGAAGTCTGCCAAGCAAAAAAGGTGAGTTGGAAGCTTTGGTGCATGAAGAGAACTATAATTTAATTGGTATTGCTGAATCTTGGCTTCATTCTTCACATGACTGGGCCATTACTATTCCTGGCTATGTTCTCTTTTGGAGAGACAGGGTAAAAAGGAAAGGTGGTGGTGTCTTTCACTATTTGGGAAGTGATCACAGAAGGAGTGTGAAAGAGGACCTAGTTGATGGAGAGTGTTATGAGGCTGAAGCATTATGGGTGGAACTGCACATGGGGGTCTGTACTACAAAGGAAATCATTGGAGTTTGTTATAGGCCTCCCAGTGTTAATGAGGAGGTGGAGACTCAGCTCAGATTGAAAGAGCTGCAAGGGCTGGGACAGTGATAATAACACTGTTCAACAGGTAAAAAGTTTTGGGCATAAAATTAGCTAATCTTACATAATTTTGGGGTGCTGAAAACGAAAATGACCCTCAAAAATGTTGATTGGCTCTAGTTTCCATGATATATTCACCCATCTAATGACGTAAGCCATTCAAAATTATGATGCAACTTCAGCTGCATATTGTGCAATTGATACTGGTGACCAATAGAAAATTGCATGTATACTGAGATGATGCAATATTAGCCTTTAATTGCATCACTTCACTGCATAAAAGCTGCAGTATCAGTAGCTGATTGTAGTTCGACAGCGTCTTTACATTTCGTTTTATGCTTATATAGGCTACTCAGTAATGCCTCGAACTTGTGTGAATAAAGCAGATAATTTCTGCTATATCTGCGGTGAAATAACTTTTATCTCACAAAAAAGGAGGATAACAGGAATGATTAAGAAAGCCTACAACTTGTATTTTGGCTGCAAGATAGGAGACCAGGACAAGAGCTGGGCACCACATATATGCTGCAATTCTTGTGGGACGGCCCTGGAGCAATGGTTGAATGGAAAAAAGGCATCTATGCCTTTCGCTGTGCCAATGATTTGGAGAGAGCCAACAGATCATGTTAGTAATTGTTACTTTTGTATGGTGCCTCCAATTGTAAAAGGGCTAAATAAGAAGAAAAAGTTATCTGTGCACTATCCAAATATTCCATCGGCAATACGTCCAGTTCCTCATGGAAAGGGGCTACCAATTCCTAAAGCACCAGAATCCTTCGTGGTTGAGTCAAGTGAGGAAGAACTGAAGCGTGTAGTCACGTGCAGTTGTAAGAGATAGCCCTTTCCTCGAATACAAGAGAAAAGCCAAGAGAAGCAAAACCGACACAAACTGAAGACAAAACTAGTGAGAATCCTAAGTATTAAAATGATTCAACTTAGCTTATGGCTATAATTTTTCTTGGTAATCCTATGCAATATATTATGCCATTTAGGCTTTGTTATGTAGTCAATATCACTTGCTTTATATTTGTGGAAAGACATCTATCTATATAATTATTGTGCATTATGTAGTCATTACGCCTATAGTAGAAAACTTTCCGTTTACAGAAAAACTAGAGCCAATTGACAAATTTCATTGTTATATTTGAACTCAGAATGTGAAATTCATTAAGAAATGGATCCTTTTGTTTCCAAAACTGGCAAAAAATAAAAATTTGTTGAACAGTGTAATGGGGCATTTTAACTACCCGGAAATTTACTGGAGTAATGGTACTGCAGGAACAGATAAAGGGCAAAAATGTAAAAAACCTACTACAGGACAATTTTATGGTACAGTTCATAGAGGCCCCAACTAGGAATGATGTTCTGCTGGACCTAGTAATCTCAAACCATGCAGAGCTTATTACGAATATCCACATAACAGAACATATGGGTAGCAGTGACCATAACATAATTTCGTTTATTGTTAGCTGTAAACATCAAGCACATGCGGGAAAAATAAAAACACTCAACTTTAAGACTTAGACTGGGAGAGAATATTGACATCAATGAACACAACACAGGAATGTGAGTTCTTCAAAAAGACTGAATGTGAACACACTGCAAAATATATTCCCATGGGCAACAAGTTTAACCACTTGGTAACCGCGCTATAACCAAATGATGGCTACAGCGCAGTTACCCAGTTCTGGGAGGGCGCCATATGATGTCCTCCCAGAACATGCCCTCCCGCGCACCCCCAGGGGACGCACACCCAGCAATCTCTGTAATCGCTGTGTCCTACGTACAAGGCTGATCATGTAATGAGGTAAAAGGCCAGTCACATAAAAGGCCTTTTAACACATGATCAGCTGTGTCCAATGACACAGCAGATCATAGAGTAAATACAGTTGCCGGTTATCGGCAGCACTTTCCTCATGCTGTCACAGCGTGAGGAAAGTTCTGCTGATAACCGGCATCTGTCACAGAGGAGATCGCCCCTGATCATCATCAGGGCACTGATGATCAGTGCCCTGCAGTGCCGCCAAGCAGTGCCACCCACCAGTGCCCAGCAGTGCCTCCCATCACTGCCCAGCAGTGCCACCCACCAATGCCCAGCAGTGCCTCCTATCAGTGCCCAGCAGTTCCACCCATCAGTGCCCCCAGCAGTGTCGCCCAGCAGTGCCACCTATCAGCGCCCAGCAGTGCCTCCAGTCAGTGCTGCCAGTCAGGGTTGTCAGTCAGTGCCGTCAGTCAGTGCCGTCAGTCAGCGCCACCCATCAGTGTCGCCCATCAGTGCCCATAAATGCTGCCTATCAGTGCCCATCAGTGCTGCCTATCAGTGCAGCATCGTCAGTGCCTCCTCATCAATGCCCACCAGTGCTGCCTCATCAGTGCCACCTCATCAGCGCAGCCTATTCGTGCCCATCAATGCTGCCTATCCATGCCACCTCATCAGTACCCATCAGTGCTGCCTATCAGTGCAGCCTCATCAACGCACAGCAGTGAAAGAGAAAAATGACTTGTCTGCAAAATTTTATAATAGAAACAAAGAAAACTTTTTTTCAAATTTTTTTGGTTCTTTTTTTGTTTATAGCGCAAAAAATAAAACCTCCAGTGGTGATTAAATACCAAAAAAAAAAGCTCTATTTGTGTGAAAAAAATGATAAAAATTTCTTATGGGTACAATATCGCATGACCGCGCAATTGTCTTTCAAAGCGAGACAGCGCTGAAAACTTAAAATTAACCTGGGCATGAAGGGGATATAAGTGCCCAGTAGGCAAGTGGTTAAAATGCTAAAAAGAAAACCTATGTGGTTTACGGCCAAAGTTAAAAAAGCTATAGATAATAAGAAAATATTTTTTATTAAATATAAAAATGAAGGAATGCTATCATCGTTTAAACATTACAAAGAATATAACAGAATATGCAAAGAGGAAATCCAGGCAGCAAAAATTGAAAACGAACAACAGATTGCAAAAGATAGCAGGACCAACCCCAAAAAATAATTTAAATATATTAATAGTAAAAAATTTGCGGTCCGAGCATGTAGGCCCTTTACAAAATAAAACTAGAGTGGGTGACTGGGGACAAAGAGAAGGCAAATTGATTAAATACCTTCTTCAGCTCTGTGTATACAAAGGAGAATGGGGGAGCTCTTGTCCATAATGGGCATGGTATTGACACAGTTCTAGATGATCCACATTGGCTCACAGTTGATATGATCCAGAAATATTTAGACAGAATAAAGGTGAAAAAAGCACCTGGACCGGATGGCATACACCCACGGGTCCTTAAAGAACTGAGCTCTGTCATTTCAAGGCCATTGTTTCTAATTTTTAGGGACTCTTTAATTACTGGCATAGTACCACTGGATTGGCGTAAAGCCAATGTGGTGCCTATATTTAAAAAGGGGTTGCCAAGTAATTATAGACCTGTTATAGACCTGTTAGTTTAATATCTATAGTTGGGGAGACTCCGGAGAGTTTAATAAAAGACCACATAGATGAGTTCTTGCTAATAAAAAAATATTTTAAGCAACAGACAGCATGGATTCATGAAGACAGAAGTTGTCAAACAAATCTGATTTCTTTTTATAAGGAGGTGAGCAAAAGCTTGGACGGAAGGGTAGCGGTGGACGTGGTATACTTGGATTTTGCAAAAGCATTTGACACAGTTCCCCACACACGGCTAATGTGTAAGGTAAAGTCTACGGGCTTGGAAAATCTGTATGTAAATGGGTAGAAAACTGGCTAAAAAATCGTATTCAGAGAGTAGTGGTTAATGATTTATACTCTGAATGGTCTAGGGTTGTCAGTGGTGTACCCCAAGGTTCAGTGTTGGGACCCTTACTTACTAATATATTTATAAACAATATAGGGTCTGGGATTAAAAATCCCATTTCAGACTTTGCAGATGATGCCAAAACTGTGCAGTGGAATAACGGCCTTACAGGATGTCTCCAACTTACAAGCCGACCTCAATGCTCTGTTTAATTGGGCAACTATGTGACAAATGAGGTTTAATGTTGATAAATGTAAGGTTATGCACTTGGGGGCTACGAATATGCATTTTTCTAAAGCAAACAAAATCCTCTCTTGTATTAATAAAGGTATAGACTCCAGAGAGAGAGATATCATTTTACCCCGGTACAAATCATTAGTAACACCTCATCTGGAATATGCAGTTCAATTTTGGGCACCAATTCACAAAAATAACATTGGGGAAGTGGAGAAAGTACAGAGAAGGGCAACCAAACTGATAACAGGCATGGAGGAGCTCAGCTATGAGGAAAGATTAGAGGAACTGAATTTATTCTCTCTTGAGAAGAGGAGATTAAGGGGGATATGATCAACATGTATAAATACATCAGTGGTTCATATATTGAACATGGTGTAGAGTTATTCACCCTGAGGTCATCACAGAGGACAAGGGGGAAGACTTTACATCTGGAGGAAAATAAATTTAATCTCCAAACACAGAAAGGTTTCTTCACAGTCAGAGCTGTGAAAATGTGGAATAGACTCCCTCAAGAGTTGGTTCTGGCCAGCTCAGTGGATTGCTTTAAAAAAGATCTGGATTCTTTCTTAGATACACAAAATATAACTGGTTACTAACATTAATAGGTAAAGTTGATCCAAGGAATATTGCCTCTTGGGGGATCAGGAAGGAATTTTTTCCCCTGCAGGAGCAAATTGGGTCATGCGTTGCTGGATTTTTTGCCTTCCCCTGGATCAACTGTGGGTATAGGATTATAACTTTTGGGGGGTTTTTTTTGTTGAACTGGATGGACTTTTGTTTTTTTTCAGCCAGACTATGTAACTATGTAATGCAAGGAATGCATTAAGATAAAACACATTTAGACTTTAGAACCACTTTAAGACAAAGGGTTAAATGAGCCCTGCTCCTGAAATCTTGCAATCTAACAAGTAGGATTAAGTGATGCAAATGGTAATAACTGGAATACAGCTTATTAAGATGTGGGAGGGGGGGGATAGGCCTACCTAAAGAGAGTTTTCAGGGATCATCTAAAGGTATAGTAAGAGATAGCTAAAGAGATTGGGGTAGGGAGTTCCAAAAGATGGGAGAGGTTCTTGGGAAGCCCAGTTGGCAAGCATGGGAGGAAGGGATGGGGAAGCTAAAAACAGGAGGTTTTAAAAAGATTGCACCTAATATCCAAAGAAGTGAGTCATTTTGCAGCATAATAGTCAATAGTAGTTAATTAAATTTGAGGCCCAACTCCGGGCACAAAAATGTTCATTTAATTTACCGTAACTCCATTTTGTGTGCACCAATCCATTTCCAAACCCAAATATTAGTATCATCAATGTGCAGTACATAGTCTGTGCATATCCACAAACACATTACATTTTTAAAAAGAATTTTAGTGGCATAAATTAAATAGAAGAAAAAAATAAAGGTTTTTGGCATGTTGTATTTAACATATTGTGTACATTTAGTTTTCACTGTGTGCATGACAAATGTACACGTATCTACCACTGCTTATAATTTTATCTTCTAGAGTTAGTAGGTATTTTGGAGATCATGTTGTGTTTATGTGCTTTGATAACCAATTTTGGTGGGTTTTTCGTAAAAATATAATTTTGATAAACATATGCTTGGCTATAATGTGACCTGCAGGATCAAAAGTATGATGGATAAACAGATAATTTGAATTCATTTTAAAATCTTATCCAGGAGAGACAACACCCCACTATCTATCTATCTATCTATCTATCTATCTATCTATCTATCTATCTATCTATCTATTACCTGTCTCTTATTAATATTATATGTATTACATATTATACAGCCTTCTTCATTGTGTGTCTTATACAACATTGCCACCTACTGACTTTACTCTTTTCTAATTAGATTCTACGTTGGTTACCTTGCCTAATTAACCTTATTTTCAGTGTAAATCTAATGCCTGGCCCTGGTATGCCTGACTGCATGGGAACAATATATATCCACCTAATAAACAAGCTTGAAAAAGAAAATCCCCACTGTAGAAAAGATATATATATGTATATATATATATATATATATATATGGCTTTTTTCTCAGAGAATAAGTGCAGGAACTCCCCACCTTTTGAGTCGCCCCTTATTTCCACCCTTTACCCACCTCCAAGCACTGTCCCCTGGTTTCACCTCCTGCCCACCTCCCAGTACCGCCTCTTTTAGAGAATACAGAACCAAATATAATTTTGTGGTGCTAAGTCATTTGTATGTAATGTGTTAATGATAACAAGAAAAGCAGTAAAATACAGTAGATCCAGCAACAATTAATCCCCCACACAATAGACCCCCCAGCAACAATGGACCCTCCACAACAAAATACGACCCCAGCAATTATAGACCCCCAGAAGCAACAACAGATCTCCTGGCAGCCAGCATAAATAGGCCCTCCGGCAGCCAGTAACAACAGACTCCTCCCTCAACAGCAGATCTCTTCCAGCAACAACTGCCCCCCCCCCCCCCCGGGCCCCATGAGTTGTCAGTCTGCCCTTGCTCTATAGCATTTTCTTTTGTTACTCCCCTGGCAGCTACATAAATGTTTATGTAGAGAAATTAAGGGAGGGGCGAAGGAGCTGGGCCAACACAGAGTACTTACATACTCCTAGAAGAGGAGAAGGCTATGGTGTTCAAGGAGAGAGGGGGCTGTGCTGGGGCATTAGTCTTACTTTCTAGCAAGCTCAAAGGTACACTGCAATTGAAAACAATTGGGGGAAATACTCTTAAATACTTTAAAATACTGAATTTTTATTTTTCATACATTTTATTTTCATTATACACTTAGCTAACTTCATTCTACATCTTACTGTTAACTTCATTTATATATAACCTGAATATGTAAGACATGTGGAGGAGACGCAGGAATGCTGCATTACTAAACTTGTAGACCTTGTCTTCGACTCTTCCCAGAAGGGCAACTTATTTCATTCCTCTCCTTGTTAACATCTTCAACACTTACAGAAGTGGTGCTGAAAAGTCGATGGAAGGTTAAGATTTGTTCTGCTCTTCTGCCACCTAATTCTGCTGTACCAGTAAAATGAAGAAAACACAAACAGAATGGGAACATCTGACTTTACACATTTTAGCAAAGATGTAGGCAATGCTGATTGAACATGTACTACAGCACTTAAATATACTTACAGCACTAAAAAATACATTTGTACATTTCTTATATAGATATGTGTACTATTTTAATGTCTGTAAATACATTTACTTCTTGAACCTTTTAGTGCATTTGGCAGATTTCCTCATATGGTCTCCTTGCGATTTATCATATTTTTCATATTCTAGCCTATACCTAGCTTCCGTAACAAAAAGTGAATATATGTTGTTTTTTAATATACATACAGTATACTATATATATATATATATATATATATATATATAAAACATAGAAAAGTGATGGCAGAAAAAGACCAAGTGGTCCATCAAGTGTGCCGGTTTTTTTTTTTTTTTGGGAGGGGGTGTTTATTTTTTGTTTGTTTTTTTTGTTTTTTGTTTCGTTTTGTGTTTTTTTTTTTTTTTTTTTTTTTTTTTTTTTACTTTTTTTTAGATCTATGCTTGTTCCAAGCATGATTGAATCTATTTATTGTTGACTGGCTGGAAGTTTATTGCGAGCATCAACTACTCTTTCAGTAAAATAGTACTTTCTATTTATAGATATAGTATATATACTGTATATGTGATTATAGCTAACTATTTAAATGTGCAAGGGCCAGTGCAGTGTCATTTGGTGTGTTGTGTTATAAGCACGTTTTAATTGCATTTTATTTGCGTTCCTATTGAACTCAATAGAACAAGCGTTTTGATAAAAGCACTTTTTTAAAACACATCACCTAAAACATAAATAAAATGCACAGATGTGAACTAATTGTTTAGTTTATGTTTAGCAAAGTAAATGTTTAGCAGACTGTACTTCTGCCAAATTGTGCAAGGCAGTGATTATACATTACAGTTCCCACCTAAGCAAATCTGTGTCAGTTAAAGCCTAACTCCATGTTTAACTTTACATACTTTAAGTGGCGTACTGTCAGGGGTCACAGAGGTCACAATTGTGACCCAGCCGCTGCTCCACGTGGGCCCATGCCTCTCTGTCACATAAGGTTTTGTGGCGGGAGGTGGGGGTCAAGTAGAGAACCGATGCCCTGGATGCAGCAGCTGAATGCAGTGGAAGGAAGAGGGGGAGACGCAGGCTTTCAGCTGCTGCATACAGGGCATCGGTTCCTCTGCTTGACACCCACCACACTTGTCACTCTCCTGCCCATTTCTGTGCCTGTACAGGGATGCTGTGTGGAGGAGGTGGATCACATGCTGAGGGAGCACTAGAGTGGTGATCTCCTTCCTGCTGCGCAGACCGACTAATGCCCGCTGCCTCCGAGCCCTGTGTGCTCACTGTCCCTGCCCCTTTGTGAGCGGGTCCTGCACCCCTCCTCACTAGTCTCCTCCATGTTAGTCTCTGCTAATATCTCCTCACCTTGTCCTCAGTCATGGCAGGGGTAGATGCTTCCTTCTTGGAGCTGGTACAGGTGCCAGAGTTCCTAAAATGGAACAGCAAGATCATCAAGTTGGTTCAAGTGAGAGCGGAGCATGGGGGGGGTGGGGGGGATGTGGTTGGGACTTAGAAAGTTCTACAATCCAGGACACTGAGAGGGCTGGGGTACTTCTACAACTAAGATTTCCCCAGACTCCCCCTGTGCTGGGACAGCACCTGTTTAAGGAAGTCACAGGAGCCAGCATGGGGGAGGGTGAGTCCTTGATATGCTAGGACTTGTAGTGTGCAAGCAGTAAGGGGACCTCTGTGTGCCATAAAGGGACCCCAACACATATGTAAGCTTCAGAGGTTGCAACGACAACCCCACAAATGTGGCGTACATATCACATTTGGATTTACACCTGGACAGGGAGGGTTGGTGGGGCACCATATAGAGGAACTGATGTATTTTCAGCTGTATTTTCCTCCTGTAAGTGCTGAATGTCTACTTCTTCTCTTCTTCCTCCCACTGGCATTCACCTGCTGCAGGAGGAAAATGAAGGGGATCCGTTCCTGTAAACCTCCCCCCGCTGCCCCTCCTTTACAGATTACTCTTATGTCTGCTGCCTGAGCCTCTGTGCGCTCCCCTGTACCCCCCCCCCCCACAGTGATGCCGGCTTAACCCCTCCCCTCTCACCTCCTTCCCCGCACCAGCTGCTGGGGATGCTTTTAAGATGGAGAGCAGGGAAGGGGCCAGTAAATATATAATTTACTGGCCCCTTCCTTTTCTGAATAGACAGAGTCAGTGATCCATACTAATCAACCGTGTTTACTATGCTTCAGTTTATGCATAGAAGCCAATTCTCTGTACAGATTTATTCCTGTCCATTCATCCTGTGCAGCTGAGCCTGTGTCCTCAATCTCCTTTCTCTTTCTCAAAGGTGGAACATCAGAGGTCTGTTTAGACCCCTGATATTTCACCAAAGCCCCCCAATAGAGCTTATTTTAAAAAAAACATTAAAAAAATATATATTAAAAATTATTTCAAAAAATTAAATAACAAAAATAAAAAACTACTGATACTGCCCTCTGCCCTACTGATACTCTCCATTGGCAGAGGACCCAAGAAGAGGAGGATCGGGGATGCTCTGTGCAAAACCATTACACAGATCAGGTAAGTATGACATGTTTGTTATTTAGATTTTTTTAAAAATCAGTCCTTTGCAATCACTTTAAGAATGAATACAAAAGACTTTTCATGCAGTTATTTGGATGCCTCAGCAGTTGTTTTCCAGATATGCTGTCTAAACACATTTTTATGTGTTCATAGAAAAAAGCACATGGAAGAGAAGAGCAAGCAAGTAATAATGTATATATAATTCTACAATATACAATACATTATTATACAATGTAAACAGTATAATGAAAGTAATACATTATTTGTACTCTTTGAAAAGATATTGGGGTTACAGTATGTACAAGATAAAAGTGAGACTCCAAGACAGGGAAAGCAGCCCAGGAACAAATGCAGAAAAATCTAACCAACAGGCTTCCTGAGGATAGTAGGAATCAAGAGAGAAGCACAAACCTCTTGCATTTGTCCAAAACTAGGTGGGTTGACTGACCCTTTAAGAGGAGTACAAATGTCAGCACAGCCTTGGTTCAGAAGCACCACTCTGATCCAGAACTGTGTCCCACCCAATTTGAGGGCTTCTATATTTGGCCTGGTGTTTGGTTGGGGCTGCCGTGGCTTCCTAGTTCACTCCAGTGGTCTACACAGGGAAAGATGGGAATAGATGCCTGGACACTGGAATTGCTGGAGGACTGGTACTCAGGGTCGCATCCAGACTATTTTACAAGTTGTGATTCCTCCACGCTAAACTCCTGAGGAAGCAACGTTGTCAGCTATGAAACACGTTAAAAAACCGCCATCTCTGTATACATGCAGATTGCTACTCGAAGACTTTACGTTGTCTGTTGTGGTCCAAGTTTGATTTTGTTGTATTTTTGATGACATTGTAATAAAATAAGTAGATGAGTAAATAAACAGTATATGGCTTCAAACATGCTTGGGACAAACAGATCTGTACTTGGACAGAAAAGTTAAAAAAAAAAAAAAAACCTAAAAGATGTATAAATTAAAAGAAAAAAACAAAAATGGGCAGACTCGATGGGCCACTTACTCTTTTTTCTGCCATCACTTTTCTATGTTGCTCTGTTAAAAATATCTTATCTATATTTATTTACAAGTAGTTGTGCGCTTATATATGGGTGGTGACTTAAAAATCCTTGTATCAAAAAAATCTCCTTTTGTTTATTCAAAATCGGGATGCGGCACCCTATTACCACCTTGTGGACTATCTCAATGCTACAAATATCAGTGTTCAGTATGTGTTTCTGTATCATATGCTGTTGCTCTTTCCTAAATAGTCCAGGCAAGGCTAGTCAGAGTGCAGTAACCTAGTGTGATCTCATTTGGCTCTCGTACTGCTGACCTAGGCACAGGTCCGCTCTTACTAACCCGCAGCCCACAGAGATTAGAGGAGCCTATTAGTTCTCTGTTCAGCCCTCTAACCTCTCACCACAGCCATTTCCTCCACAGACACAAAACTCATATGAAAGGCTTTCCTTGGCTTTCATCAAATCTGGGTTGCAGGCCTATTTCGTAACATTAATTCTCTCCCTCACTGACTGCCACATCAATTCAGTATTTTATAAACTATTTCTGGGATCCGATTTATCAGGCCTGACAGAGCTTCACAGTGAAATAAACAGCGCTGCTTCAGCTCAGCTCTCTCTCTCTCTCCCTCTCTCTCTCTCTGCGCTTTCTATTTATCATTATTTAATTCAAGAGCCTAAAATTCTCTGACATTATTAATAGTAAGATGAATCGCTAGAAAGCAGCAGAATCTGTGACCAACCAAGTCGAAATAATCCATTTTGGTAAAAATGTCTGCGTGGAATTGCATTCCCTGACGGGTACACTCACTGTCATTAGCTCCTTGGTATGCATGGGTGGTAAAGTACTGAACCATAGGTCTCCAATGAGTAGAAAAAACTTCAATTGCAATTCCCCTTCCAACAGTTAACACGCCAAGGCAACGGCGACTATAAGAAAAAAAATTTGATGGCTGCTGTCAGTGGAATTTAAATGCACTAATTTAAAACTTTTGTACATGATTAACTTTTAAGTTGTCTGAGGTTGAAGTTTTGTGTTATGGAGACAGGAAAATCTATTAGTTCAATTCTAAGGGCAGTATTACTTACAGCCATTAATGAAATATAATAAGCTCACTAGTATGGCTATGAACACATAATGATAGGCCAGCTAACCTCATTGGGGTTTTTTCTCTGTCTTTTTATTAATTTAGTTTTCTCTTCTTTGAGGAGAGCATGTGTCAATGTGGAGTCAGGGAACCTTAGGGGCCCATTCACAGTCAAGTGCGTTGTTTTTTTTTAATGGGCTGGCAATGCACCAGACCACATTTCAAATTGAGCATGCACAATTTTATGCAACAAAGAAGACCACAAGGTATGGTAGCGTGTTATCATGTACTGTGGTACCCTGCAACACTACTTTGGGGTGCCAATAATCAAAACATATTTATTTGTTACAGGTATACATATTTTTTGCAGCTCTTTACATACAGTGAATATATTGTACATTCACATCAGTCCCTGCCCTCAAGGCTTACAATCTAAGGTCCCTAACTCCCATTCATACATACACATACTAGAGCAGGGGCGGACTGACCATTTGGAAACTCGGGCACTGCCCGAGGGCCCCAGGGTCAGTAGGCGGCCCCATGAGATGCCCCTTGTACCTTTTTCATAGGCTTTTTTGAGTTTGGGCAAGGACACAGGGGTCCCATGATCCCCTATTGCCCGGGGGCCCCATGAGTTGTCAGTCCACCCCTGTACTAGAGCCAACATAGGCAGGAGCCAATTACACTGTTCAACAAATTTTTATTTTTTTGCCAGTTTTGGAAACAAAAAGGATCCATTTCTTAATGAATTTCACATTCTGAGTTCAAATATAACAATGAAATTTGTCAATTGGCTCTAGTTTTTCTGTAAACGGAAAGTTTTCTACTATAGGCGTAATGACTACATAATGCACAATAATTATATAGATAGATGTATTTCCACAAATATAAAGCAAGTGATATTGACTACATAACAAAGCCAAATGGCATAATATATTGCATAGGATTACCAAGAAAAATTTATAGCCATAAGCTAAGTTGAATCATTTTAATACTTAGGATTCTCACTAGTTTTGTCTTCAGTTTGTGTCGGTTTTGCTTCTCTTGGCTTTTCTCTTGTATTCGAGGAAAGGGCTATCTCTTACAACTGCACGTGACTACACGCTTCAGGTTCTTCCTCAATTGACTCAACCACGAAGGATTCTGGTGCTTTAGGAATTGGTAGCCCCTCTCCATGAGGAACTGGACGTATTGCCGATGGAATATTTGGATAGTGCACAGATAACTTTTTCTTCTTATTTAGCCCTTTTACAATTGGAGGCACCATACAAAAGTAACAATTACTAACATGATCTGTTGGCTCTCTCCAAATCATTGGCACAGCGAAAGGCATAGATGCCTTTTTTCCATTCAACCATTGCTCCAGTGCCGTCCCACAAGAATTGCAGCATATATGTGGTGCCCAGCTCTTGTCCTGGTCTCCTATCTTGCAGCCAAAATACAAGTTGTAGGCTTTCTTAATCATTCCTGTTATCCTCCTTTTTTGTGAGATAAAAGTTATTTCACCGCAGAGATATAGCAGAAATTATCTGCTTTATTCACACAAGTTCGAGGCATTACTGAGTAGCCTATATAAGCATAAAACGAAATGTAAAGACGCTGTCGAACTACAATCAGCTACAGATACTGCAGCTTTTATGCAGTGAAGTGATGCAATTAAAGGCTAATATTGCATCATCTCAGTATACATGCAATTTTCTATTGGTCACCAGTATCAATTGCGCAATATGCAGCTGAAGTTGCATCATAATTTTGAATGGCTTACGTCATTAGATGGGTGAATATATCATGGAAACTAGAGCCAATCAACATTTTTTAGGGTCATTTTCTTTTTCAGCACCCCAAAATTATGTAAGATTAGCTAATTTTATGCCCAAAACTTTTTACCTGTTGAACAGTGTTACCTACCAGCATATCTCTGGAGTGTGGGAGGAAACCAGAGTACCTGGAGGAAATATACACAGGCACAGGGAGAACATGTACTTAACTGTATCTGAGCACAACAAACTGAAAACACAATTTATTTCCTTTTTTAATATTCAAAAGAAATTCACACATCCATCCATGACTCACTGCTTTATTTTGTTGAGAATCAATTTGAAAAGCATTTCTAGCTGCGGCCATCTTGAGTAAGGGCAGATGATTCATGTAGCATTTTCTTCCTGGAATCTATTTGCCCTTAGCACAGGGATGCAAGCAAACGGGTGTGCCTAACTGAGAAAGCCCCTCCTCCGCTCTTTGAGATGAAAGGAAAAAAAAAGTGCATGAAAACTCATAGGATATATGAAGCTATTTTGCCCTAGGCTGGAAACCAGGAAGAAACTGAGGAAATGTTATAAAAAAAAAGTTGAAAACAAGTAAATATAGTATAGTTTTCTTTCTACTAATGTTAGCAGCATAGGTATTAAAAATAGTTCATACCGATTGAGAGAATTTAGCGCCACTTTAAGGATGGATGCCTTATTGCACCACAACAGTGCAAATGAGCACTAAAGGTTCTGTTCACCCAATAAATATATTTTATCTTTGGTAGAGGCTGAGGTCCACATCATTTTAGCTCATATTTATGTGTTATGTTTTGTGTGACTGATTTTTGTCTGGAACGCTTAAAAACACTGAGTAACATTCCTCATCACAAACATACTCACACAGATTTGTATTGCAGAGAACAGAAGGGGTGTCTGGTTAGGTCTGTTTAAGTTACCGAGAGGAGTGGGTCTTCTCTGGTGCCAACTAGACTGCACATTTAGATATTCTTCACAATGGGGGTTATTTACTAAAGAAGGAGAGTACAAAATCTAGTGCAACTCTCCATAGAAATCAATCAGCTTCAGTATTTTATTGTCAAATCTTAATTGAACAAGCTGAAGTTGCAAGCTGATTGGCTACCATGCACAGATGCACCAGATTCTCTGAGTTCACCCGTTTTAGTAAATCTACCCCAATGGTTATAACAGGTAAGTGGAAGTAATACTATGAACATCAAACACCACAAGTAATCGAGCTTGGGTCAAACACTTATAAATATATAAAATAAAATAAAAGAACAAAAAACAGCAGTTAGCACAATATCGCAGGGTACAATACATAAGACATATAGAGAAAAAAAGTGCAGCGCTAATAATAAGAAAATATAACTCTTCAATAAAAAATAAACAGTCCCATCCGTAAAACAAATGGTGCACTTCAGCTGTAAAAGATGTGACCAAGTCCACCGACAGAACCTCATCAGGTTGTAGTGTTGATGTTTAGAGATGTAATAGAAGGGAGAGCCTTCACCAGCCGAAACACACAGCCTCTTACAAGAATGTATTGACCCCCCTAAAAAGGAATGGTCAAACTGCGCAGGATTAAAACCAATAAGGATATCAGCAGGAATAATCTCCACAAATAATAGCCCAAGAATAGCCCTTGAAGTGTTATAATTTGTTATTATTAGTGCTGCAGTTTTTTTCTCTATAACACTATGAACATACAGGTTGTTAGCACAGTGAGGTTGATTTACTACAGGTAATTAGGCAGTTCACTTCGTAAGGGAAGTTGTACTTTGTAGGGTAATTTGCTCTAGCGCTTAGTGAATATGCTGAAGTTTCACTTTGCAAAGAATACCCTATTGCAAAGGAAAATAAAAAAAAACAACATTTTTGCTTGCACATGGTTGGATGTAGAAGTCAGCAGAGCTTACCCTCATTTACTAATATCTGGAGGAAATTCACTTGCAAAGTGAACAGCATATTTGGCTTCAGTAAATCAACCCCACTGTTGATCTTTCGTGACTTCAACTAGGATTTAAATCAACTGACAGTTTGGTATATCTCTCCAGAAGTCTGTCAGTGAGAAACCTGTGTTTGGGTTGCTAGGTTTGCACAGTAGAGGCAACCCACATTTGTAGAGCATGTTGTTTTTTAATCAGCGATATGGCCACTGTAAGGTTACACTGCTGCTTTTTAAATGGAACAGTAAACATAGACTATATTGTCAAAAGTATTGAGACACCCTCCAAATCACTGGATTCAGGTGTTCCAATCACCTCCATGGCCACAGATATATAAAATCAAGCACCTAGGCATGCAGACTGCTTCTACAAACATTTGTGAAAGAATGGGTCGCTCTCAGGAGCTCAGTGAATTCAAGCGTGCTGCCGTGAAAGGTTGCCACCTGTGCAATAGGTCCATCCATGAAAATTCCTTGCTACTAACTATTCCATGGTCAACTGTTAGTGGTATTATAACAAAGTGGAAGCAACTGGAACCAGCAGATACTTAGCCACAAAGTGGTAGGTCACGTAAAATGACAGAGCGGGGACAGTGCATGCTGAAGCACACAGTGCGCAGAAGTCGCCAACTGTCTACAGAGTCAATAGCTAAAGACATCCAAACTTTGTGTGGACTTCAGATTAGCACAACAACAGTGTGTAGAGAGCTTCATGACTATCCCCAAGTGCAATGCAAAGCGTTGAATGCAGTGGTGTAAAGCACTTTAACATGTCTACATCCATGTTCTCTTCTTACCCCTTCCAATAAATCAGAAAAAAAAAGTTTTTTATGGGAGGAATACACTTTTTTTGTGTAGTGCACCTTGCACTTCCACTTTTCTAGGTGAAAATGACATCCTTTCACCAGCCCAAAGCCTTCTTGGATACCCATGTGCGGCATCCCAGAAGGTTTTAGGGCTACATTGATCACATTGTGCATGCGCAGTTGCATGTCATCAGGAGACTGGCTGCTAGGAATTAAAAGAGACAGCTGTCCTTCTGATGATGTCGCAATAAAGATGGCGACACAGGATCCAGAGGGCATCAGTTTTTGGCAGATGACAGCAGGATAGCAGTGGATCTGCTGGGTGGCTTAACTTAACCCAGTAGGCCAGGACAAAAGGGACTGAAAAATGAACTCCAGGGGGTGAGGTTTCTTTTTAATCACCCTCAATTTAAAACAGTTTTATTGAATTACTGAATACATATTATTTTTATCCTAGCCTCCAGTGTAAATAGGATTACAGTGTATTCTGTGTATGTTTTTTGTTTCCCATTTTTGCTTAGTAAAGATTTTCTAATACATTCAGTGTCATTCCTTGGCAATTACTAAATTAGATTAGTTTAATTCTACACCCCCCGGCAAAATAATTGGATTTAACCATTGCCAACTGAAGCAGACCTTTATTTGTTGGAATTTTATTTACAGTATGTTTACTAGAGAGGGTGCAGAGAGAGATATTAAAAAGTGAACAATTTGCTTCAAGGACTAAATCATCTTTTTCTGCAGCGAAAGTAAGATCCTCCCTCAATTCTCAAAACCATTGTCTCTTTTGTGCTTATGATCACAGTTGATTATGGACTGCCAAAAGAAATCCAAATGGACAGTGGGGGGCCACGTCATTCAAGGAAAAAATTAAACATGTATTTGGGGTGTACTGATTTTTCCATACCATGCATCTAGTTTGTCTGAAAGTTACAGTGAGCTATTGAAGGAACACATACAGAAGCACACACCTTCACACACATGGAGGCCTTCGCATTGGATTCTTACACATACGATATTGTTATTAAATTGTAGCACTGTGGTCATGGATACTCATATGAGTGGGTGGTGAATGCTGAGGAACAGGCTTTAAAGTAGCAGCATCCAATACTTCTGTGAAGTTCCCCAAAAAGA